CCAGCAGGGGCGATCGCATTGGACCCAGCAAGCGTTTGCTGCAGAAGCTGGGTAGTGCAGCGATCTATGTATTTATTTTCAAATACGCACGAACGTGTATATATCATATATTAAAGAAGAAAAGGGAGAGTCCTCCATAGTTATATTACATAATCACCGGCGTTTCCTCGCCATCCACCTAAGCACTAAACCGACTACTCGTCATGTGCCCACTCCGATGCCGCTATGAAGGCCGCTGCTAAGTCCCCTCGCAAGATGCCCGCCTGCATCCAAGTCATACTCTCGCTTGCTATTCGCTTCATAAGGCGTGTAGCGCTCACATTCGCCCCGTCGAAGACTATGGCATTCATGTGCTTCCATAACTCCCACATGGTAAGCAGACAGATGGTGCTCTACGCCCAAGCGTGTTGTGCCTTGCGCACCAGTCCTGCGTCAGCCGGCATGCGCAAGGCCGTGAAGATGCGGGACCAAACCTCCCGTGCCAATTGGTTCACTGTACGTGATCTGTGTACTGTGGCAGTTGGTTCACTGTAGCACCCGGTTTTTTGATCGGTCTTATTTATTTATTTTTCTTCCTGGTTTGGTTTTAACCTTATACACCTTTTCATTTTTATAACTTTTTGTACTATAAACATTTTTATAATATATGGTGAATTATTTCAAATATATGTTGAACAGTTTTAAAATACACATTGAACATGTTTCATATATAATTTAATATTTTATTAATATATGATGAACTTTATAATACACGATGAACATTTTGTATTATATGATGAACACTTTCTAATATATGATGAACATTTTTGCAGTACACAAAGAATTTTTTCATAATACAGTGAACTTATTTTAAATAGACACTGAATTTTTTTTGTAAACACACATTAAACTTTTTTTATAGTGTACGGTGAACATTTCCTTAATTATCCAAAGACCATCAAGGACTTATTCACCGTGAAATTTAAAAAGGTTCATCATATATTAACGAATTGCCTAACATGTGTTGAAAAACCAAAACAAACAAATGTTCATAGTATATTAACAAATTGTTCACCGTGTATTAAAAAATTGCTCACCATGTATTAATAACAGAAAATGAAATAGAAAAGAAAAGGAAAGGAAAACCCAGAAATAAAAAAATGGAAAACTAGAAGAAAAAACTAACAAAACTAAAAGGAAGAAACCAAAAAAAATAAAGCAACAAAAAACAAAAGAAAGAAAAAACCGGCAAAGAAACCTACAGTGCGCACTGCCACAAGCTAGGTCGGCCCACCTGCAGGCGCTGCAGGCCAAGCTGGCGCTATTTGCCGCCCGCGGTCGACATAAAGGATCGGTTGACGTGTCGGTCACGTAGCTCTGGCCCAGTCAACCCGCACATTAGTTCGGTAACTATAGCGTTTTTATAGTTTTTTCTTCCTTCGAAGTCACTAATTCTGAACTATCCTTTGCAAAGGCCACTCTCACCTTCTTCGATGGTGTCAAGTGGCGCACTACATGTGCATCACTTGTCGCAACCTGAGAAATTTGCCCTTTTTCGTAGATTCATTTTTTCACAATGTTTTATCGCTTGAACCGTGCGTCCAAATTACAAACTGTTTTTAGCGTTGGATTTATCATATCGAGATCTTCGAAACAAGATCCCATGTTAAGAACTTTTTAACAAATTTCAAAAATGCATACCCAAATTAAGGTTTTTCACTTCTATCATATTGTCGGCCTTCTGCTGGACGAAGAGGGATTCTTTGTTCTCGTGTTGACCGAAGAAGAGGTCTTCGTCCATTGGCTGGCCGAAGAGCCATCTTGGTTCTACGGTGGGCCGAAGAGAAGCACAAATGAGCCGAAGTGTAGTCTTCGGTGGGCCGTAGGACGAAGAGACTGACTTTCGGCCAGTACGCGGCCGAAGAGTCATCTTCGTCTAGGACGCGGCTGAAAAGGTCGCAAGAAGAGCGCATCCATCTTCTTCCTCCAGACGCCTCTGCTCATTCGACTTTCTCTCTCTCTTTCCTTCGCCATTTCCGCTCGATCTACCTCATTTTTGGGTCATTCTCGCATCCAAGCAGCAGATCCACTAGAGTATAGCCATCCCCCGACGGCCAAGGCCCCGATCCATCCATAGGGTAGTTGTTGTGGCGTGGCGGAGTCATGGAGGGAGGAGCGATGGTGTAGCATTGACATACATATGTGCAAGTTATACGATCATATGATTGTTCTTGTATATTGTAGATCAACACAAACTGTATGCATTTTGTTTGCAAGTTTTTGGCCATTATTATTTCCAATTCTTTATTCATTTCCCCCCCTTTTAGGGTAATGACAGTGCTCTTAATTCATTGTTCCATAGAATAAATGTTGTCTTATTTTTTTGCAAGTAACACCACTTTCACAATTCTATCTTCTGTAGATTGAAATTTACTTATTTTTCTATATTTTTAGTTTTTGTAGTTCACAGTTTATATATATATATTATAGTTGGCACATATAATAAAAGAGTTTGAAAATTAGTACTTATAACTTCTTCATTTTAGGCATAGTTGTATAGTATAAAATTTATTTTTAGATTTCTTACTTTATCATTCATTATAGGATTAAACCACTCCCATAAGTCATTCTTCCATAGAACAAATGTTTCTTCTTTGTTTTTGTTCATGACCTAAATTTGTACTAAAAGCTAAGTGTTGTTTTGTTTTTGTTTTTAAATTTGACCATTTTTTATCCTTTCTTAATTTTCTTTCTTCTCTTAGGGGTAATACCAATGCCCTTAATTCATTATTCCTTGAATATTTTTTTCCGATGAAACCACTTTCATGATTCTACCTTCCTTAGATTAAAATTTATATAGAAAAAAATAGTTTTTAGTTCACATTTTTACTTTTTTATTTGATTGTAAAAAAAAGTAACCTTGGCATGAAAAAATTGTCTAGTTTTCTCGCATGTGCTAATGTTTCACTTTTTTTATTGCTTAGTCAATGTTTGACCGTTGGGTTTTCTTTATTTAGGCGATGATTGTTTTTCATAATCATGTGACTACTTAATTTGTGTTAGGGACTTAAAGTGGAATTCATTTTTAATTAATTCCATTAAATCATAATTATTATAAAGTTGCACTATTTTGTGCTTGTTTTGCATAGTATGGGAGAGTACTAGTTTTTATTTATTTATGTGCAATTACCAATATATTCTAACTGCAGCATATAACAAAAGAGTTTGAAAATGAGTATTTGTAACTCGTTCATGTTAGGCATAGTTGTATAATATAAATTTTCTTGTAATTCTTTTTAGGATTAAACCACTCACGTAAGTCATTCTTCGTTAGAAATAATGTGTTCTTCTTTGTGTTTTGTTCATGATCTAAATTTGTAGTACTAAAAGCTAACTACATTTTTCTAAAATTATTTTTTGGTCATTTTGTATCCTTTCTTCATTCTCTTTCTTCTTTTAGGGTAATTCCAATGCCCTTAATTCATTTTCCTTAGAATAAATTTTGTTTATTTTCATTTTAATTTTTTTTAATAACACGACTTTCACAATTATATCTTCCTTGGATTGAAATTTCTATTTTAAATAGTATTTAACCTTTTTCAGTTAATATGTTCATATGTCATTTATTATTGGTAAAAAAATGTCTGGCATGAAAAAATATGTCTAATTTTCTCGCTTGTGCTAATGTCTCATCTTGTTTTTTTGTTGTTGCTAGTAAATTATTTGATCATTGGATTTTCTTTGTATAAGCGGCGACTGCTTGTTGTAATCACGTAACTGCTTAATTTGTGTCAGAGACATAAAATGGAATTATTATTTTTAATTCATTCGCTTAAATAATAATTATTATTTGCGCTATTTTACACTTGTTTTGCACAACATGGAAGGGTGGAAGTTTTGTTATATTATGTGCAATTTATCAATATATTATAATTTCCGCATATAAGAGAAGAGTTTGATAATAAGTATTTATAATGTGCTCATGTTAGGCATAGTTGTATAATATAAATTTTCTTATAAAATTTCTTGTTATTCTTGTTAGGACTAAATCTCTCCCATAAGTCATTCTTTCTTAGAAATAAATGTGTTCTTCCTTATCTGAATTTGTACTAAAAGCTAAATGCTATTTATTTCAAAAAAAATTGTCCATTTTTATTATTTCATCATTTTCTTTCTTCTTTTAGGTAATACCAATGGCCTTAATTTGTTCTTCCTTAGAATAAATGTCGCTTTATTTTCATTTTTGTTTCAGGTAACACCACTTAGCTTGACTTTGATAATTTTTTCTTCCTTAGAAAGAAATGTGTTCCTCTTTCTTTTAACTTTTTGTTATTCTTTGAGGTACGATATGGACATGTCTGCTTCCGATATGACCAAAGAGATTACATGCATACATATAGGTGCATAGAAAAAAAGACTGAAAATTACATAAAATTCAGGCATCTGACATATAGGTGCTCCTTTTAGTTTTTGTGTTTAGTTAGTGTAGATGCAGCTCCGTCCTCCGGGATACAATTTGAAAGGATGGTGTCACATAAGGTAAGTCAACTGTTATGTTTTGAGGAACATCAGCTACAGACGAGTGTGTACTACTCTTCATATTATTTATACTCTAGTACATACGCACCGTTTGTCTACCTCTTCGGCACCGTCTGTAGCGCTGCAGCATAGGTAGTCTGGGAACACGAACTTTGAACAAATGCACATGGGCAATTAAGAGCCCCCAGCCCTAGTATGCGTTGAGATTTGAACTTCTTCACTTCTAGAAATCACCTGCTCAGCATTATACGTTATTTTACTATAACCTACGGTACCCCCTCCTTCCCTCCCTCATCGTGATCCCCATTCTTACTTGGTTCGTAGTGGGAAGTGGGAACAAGAGCGTGCCATGCACCACTCGAGCTCGACTCCCCTCTCCCGTTGACGACGTTCGCCACATGATGGTTAAACCATCGCCGATGGAAGGTGCGTGCAACGCGCGGCGCCGGACAGCTTCTGTGGCTAGCGACAGCATAGCAGTGATGGCGGAGCAGCACGACGGCAAGCCGGCCAACGGCGTGCGCTGGCGGCCGCACTACGGCTGCCCGGCAGCGGGAAGCACCACCATCCCCCTCGTGTTCCTTCTCTTGCTCACCGGCGCGCTGCTCCTCATCCTCGGCCCGACCGACTCCATCCTCACCCTCCCCAGCCTCCGCGTCGTGTTCAGCAACCCCATCCACATTGCCACCGCAGCTCCGCCAGCGGTGCCGCCCGCAGCCGCCAACGTGAGCGACGAAGACATCGGCCTCCCGCCGCCCCGGCAGCTCACGGACCCGCCCTACTCGCTGGGCCGCACCATCCTGGACTACGACGCGCGCCGGTCCGCGTGGCTCGCCGCGCACCCGGAGTTCCCCGCGCGCGTGCCGCCCGCGGGCCGGCCGCGGGTGCTGGTGGTGACCGGGTCCGCGCCGGCACGGTGCCCCGACCCGGACGGCGACCACCTGCTGCTGCGCGCGTTCAAGAACAAGGCGGACTACTGCCGCGTCCACGGCCTGGAGGTGTACTACAACACGGCGTTCCTGGACGCGGAGATGACCGGGTTCTGGGCGAAGCTGCCGCTGCTGCGGTCGCTGATGATGGCGCACCCGGAGGTGGAGCTCCTGTGGTGGGTGGACTCGGACGCGGTGTTCACGGACATGCGGTTCGAGCTGCCGTGGGAGCGCTACGCGGCGCACAACCTGGTGCTCCACGGCTGGGAGGCCAAGGTGTACGAGGAGAAGAGCTGGGTGGGCGTCAACACCGGCAGCATCCTCATCCGCAACTGCCAGTGGTCGCTCGACCTCCTCCACGCGATGGCACCCATGGGGCCCCGCGGCCCCGTGCGCGACAGCTACGGCGAGCTCTTCGCCAGGGAGCTCTCCGGCCGCCCGCCGTTCGAGGCCGACGACCAGTCGGCGCTCATCTACCTGCTCGTCACGCAGCGGGAGAGGTGGGGGGACAAGGTCTTCTTCGAGAACTCGTACGAGCTCAACGGCTTCTGGGAGCTCATCGTGGACAGGTACGAGGAGCTGCGGCGGGAGGGCGCCTGGCCGCTCGTGACGCACTTCGTCGGGTGCAAGCCGTGCCGGCGGTACGCCGACAGCTATCCGGCGGACCGCTGCCGCCTCGGGATGGAGCGCGCCTTCAACTTCGCCGACGACCAGATACTGAGGCTGTACGGGTTCGGCCACGAGTCGCTCAACGGCACCGCCGTGCAGCGCGTCAGGAATGAGACCGGCGGGCCGCTGGACGCGGAAGACGAGGAGCTCGGTCGGCTGTTGCACCCCACGTTCAGGGCAACTTAGACGACGACTTAGCCTGGAATCGACTCTTGTTTTGTCGTGGCTGGCTTCTTCTTTTCCCATGTTGTTTTCAGTCTGATGTTTAGTTTATAATAGAGAACTCAATAGTACTAGGACTCGAGTCGAGTCCAGGGATTTTGCCTTCTCTTTATCGATGATTTACCCGGTCTACTATACAAACCCAGTGATCTGGTAGGGCATTTCCTTTACCATAATTTACACGTTAGCATTTGCTTTCTCTAACAAGGCTCTCAAGTCTCAAGTTCTTATTTTCTGTTCGTCCAATAGGATCCCATCTCTCTTGACGGCAAACAAGGGTCAAATGGTCAGGATTTCAATTTGCATCAATAAACCGGGGATCGGATCAGATATAGTTTCAAAATGTTGGGCCACACAAGAAATCCCTCCCAACCTGCCAACTATTTTGGTTCATTCCTCTAACAAAAACATGCTTCTGCGACGCAAACGGAGAATCATCTGACGGGATGAGTGCAAAAATTCTGCTAAAAGGGAAGAATGCCAACCCCGCACAGCGCACCTCCCACTATAGTGATAGAATCTTGTCTTGGATCCATTCAGATAGCTTGCGGATCTTTTTGGTCATTTCGCCGCTCTTGGAAAAATAAGACTTGGCATTGGCAAGCATCACAGTGGCATCATGTTTGACAGCCTCCGGAGTTCTGTAGTAATCGCTCTGTAGTCTTGCTCTGATCACCTCAATGGAGAATTGGACAGGGAACCTAGAACGCAAGTTGTACAGAGAAAAATCTTTTAAGACAGGTGCTCCTTCATCATAAATAAAAACGATACGCTTCCAGAGTATGCATTGGTTGAATCTTTTTTAACCTTGTTAATGAAAATCATCAAATCTGCATTTTAACAAATATGGCCTCATAACTGAAATGGAAAAGGGGCCTTGTAGGGGTACAGCCATATATACCCAAAAACCTTGTCAAACACGCATTTATTTGACGAGATTTGGAAAATGGGCCTTGTATCAATTAGCGAATTTATGTTAGATGCTCGCTACGAGATTTGCCAACAAAAAAGGCAGTTTTGTAAAGAGGTTGGTTGCTATTATTTTCTAAAAAGTATATGTCACCTACAAATCATGAATAAAGAATCCACATTTTATGTTCCATATATCTTTAGTTCGTTAAACCTTCAAACAAACACAGGCGTGTTAACCTCCCAGAAATAAGGTATTTTATGTTCCATATATCTTTAGTTTGTTAAACCTTAAAACAAACATAGGCATGTTAACCTCCAACGGAAATAAGGTAAACTTTTTTACAAATACATGGTATACTGCATTATCTACAGATTATATGCCTCATGAGAATTATTTCACAGCAGTCATCATTCTCACTTTTGTTATAAATGAAACAAAAAACATATAGAAGCATCTGCACTGCATACTTTTATACAAGAATTACCTGTTTATGAAATCTGATTTTCCTGCAACAGTATCTAACTTCAGAACACCATAGCGATCCTGAAGACCCGTACAAAAATACGGTAAACAGTCAAAACAACAACCCAAGAGTAGCCAAAGGGTGTAAATTTTGAAAATAAAACTTCACCTGATTTCTGAGAGACTTTTCCTGTAAACCGGTCACTGCTGATAACAATTTGTTCCTGGTACTGGGATCGATATGTGGACGGTTCCATGGAACCAATGGGTTATTAGCATCATGCACCTCCCAGGGGCTATGCGGATGTTCAGAGCCATCAGTTTCATACTGTATGACATATTTCTCCCAAGGGCTCTCAGGAAAATCAGGTGACTTAGGTCTTATTTCCAATACTCATCCCTCCCACCAACTTCCTCCATCCTCTCCCTCATCCATCCACCAAACTTTGCACCTATCAGCGATGCTCCAGTTATACGTGGTAGTAGCTTCAAACCGTGTTCTTTCCACAAGAAAATCAGGGAACGTAACTAGCTCACGCAATGTGATTACAAACTCTTTGCCAAATCCGCTTGAAGTGTGATCAATGAATTTAATAGTTAATTCACAGCAGCTTTCCCCAGACCCTCTATCTGGCTTGTAATCAAGACCCTTAATTTTGCAAAGCTCGGCAGCTTTAAGGCCTCTGATCCGATTCAATGGGCAATTATCCGATGATTGCACTTTATAAACATATTCTTCATGGCCCTAAAAATAACAAGCGCACAGAAAGTATGATAAGAGGCGCTTCATAAATACTATTTTACGAGTCACAATGGTATATATGCTCGTATTTAACCTACGCACGATTTTCCCACCATCAACTAGTATACCTTACAACTGGGCACCAAAATCATTTCCGTACTTTATACACACAATGCAGCGAAAATAAATAAATACCTGTCGCAAGTACATAACCTCATCGCCAAGTTGAGGAATATAACGGTAGATATCTTCATGCTCTAGCAACATCAACCACGGCCTCGATACTTGGTGCTTTTTCTCCAATAGATGTGTATCAGGAAAGTTGCAACTCTCTCCTTTGTTCATACAAGACTTTATACCAGCATTCTTTGATGTTGATCCCCACATTACTTCACGCACATTTGCAACAATTCGTCTCCCACTAATTGCTGCTTCGAGGGAAGAACTTTGCACATGAGAGATTGCATCCCTTTCTCTACCATAATCAGTGTATGCACATGACCTCCTTTCGTTTCTTCGTAAACTACCAGTAAGTGCAACAGGACTGCAGTCTAGAGGTTGATGCCCACCATCATCATTGGAAACAGAAGTACTATGTCCATTTCCAAAGGCATCCGAACCCAATCTTTTCCTGTGCTTACTTGGCTCTGACCTTTTGCACACTGTGCCGTATGTGTTCGCAGATTCAAAGTCCTGGAAACGTCTGGACACACTAGTGAAGTCACTACTCCTATGTTGACTGGTGGCAGAAACCTCATCATGCTGCATGGAAACTTTAACATGGTTGATGTCACTCCCTACTGCACTAGTCTTCGATATGTCTGATGAACTTGCTCCATCTGCAAAGCCTCTTGGTCTGGACAACTTCAGTTTAAAGGATATAGACCGAGTGCTGTGGAACTGCTGACCGTGTTCCCTGTTATTTTCTTCCTCTAGATGAGTATTCTTGTTGTCAGTTATCCATTCTTTACCAGGCAAATTACCTTCACGATAATCATCAGTATTGTGGTTTTCATGGATGCTATCCAGATAAATTGCACGTTGTCTTTTCTGTACATTCTGCTCAACCCTTTGTTGGACGCCATTATCATATTGATTAGGTGTTTTCTGACAACCAGACCCATAAACGTCATGTGAAAGTGCATTATTTGAAGAGACCCACATGTCTCCTGAAGAAGAGTCCCCGAACTTGCAATGCTTTGAAGGTCGCAGCTTAAGCTCACCCCCTTTGATTGTGTCATTACTGTGAGCAGTACCCGCGTCATGTAGAACAGAGACCAGAGGTGATTCAGACTTGCAAGCAGAGGAGTTTCCAGGCTCAAAAGCTAGTTCCAGCTCAGCGTCTTTGTATCTGGCTGCTGGAAGTGACAGCACTGCATAATGAGGTGGGAGTTCTGGATTTGCACTTTCTGAAGGAAACTGAACTTTTAGATCACGGCGTGGTATCCTCAGAATCAGTTTTCTACTATTTGCAGAATTTTTTCCCTTGGTTTCAGTGAACTGAGAAGGGGTAACATATTCGGAATCATATTGGTTGGTCTCTCTACCAAGTCTTGGCAGGCCATGCCACGCTGACTGCTCAGCTTCAGTGCTTTCTGTGTTCAGTTCGTTGTCTGAAAGACTGCTCGCTGATCCATCTTCCTCTTCTGTTGAAGTTTCAATCTTCGAGAAAAAACTGTGTGTGCTGTGAGTAGCACGTCTTTGAGGTCGCAATCTCCTAGATTTAGGAGATATTTTCCTTTTGGTAGCACGGCCAGTCTTAGACTTCCTACCTCTATGTGGCCTTGACGGTGTAGCCACACCATGCCCATCCAAATTTCTTTTCTTAACTCGCCGATCAGATGAAGTAACAAAATCAGCCTGTAGAAGACGTAATAAAAGGAAAATAAGTTGAAAAGTTAGAAACCGACATAAAGGAAATGGAATGATCTTAATGTCGCCTCTTACATCAGATCTTTTCTTCTTTCTTCTAGATCTGCGGAGATTAGCAGTACTGTTAAGATTAGATCCATCAATCTCTGCACTTGAGTATGAAGCACCAGAAGCATGACCACCCCAAATCTCCTGTTCTCCTTCACTAGAATAGTCATCCATGCCATTGTACTCGGAATCAGTATCATCAGAGATCGCTTCATTTTCTGGTTCAAGCTCGATGAAGTCTGTTATCTCTGGAAGTGGTTCCCACCTATCTGGATCAATAACTGAGATGATTTGGTACTCGCCAGTGGTTGCATGGTAAGTGGGCCCAACAGCAAAATTTACCGAGGGAGGTCGCCATTCAATACCCAGGGTACCTAACCTGTGTTTCTGGTACATGCTCTGAAAAGGCTCTGGGTAAGGTATCATACCTTCAATTGGCAATTAGCAACTAACAATTATAATCATGTGCGACCAATAAATTACTAAATTATACCTTGGTTAGAAAGATAGAGAAGTTGCATACCCGAGTCGCACAAAAGGTCTTGAATATTTCTCCTATAAGGTGCAAGTTGTGTTTCCTGGGTACAGTAAGAAAAGGCATCATAAAGAAAACTTGATAGCTCATAATGCACTTTGTGAAGAGAAAAAAACAGTTCCACACAGGCAAGAATGATCAGGAACAGGGTTCAATATCCCTTTCTTGGGAAATACCGGACCCAGCAGGCGTCCAGTAGTTTTTCAAACCTGGAGTTCTGTGTTTTATCATGTTTTAAGATTCCTTAGTCTTGCAATGCTAACTTGTTTGTTGGCTTGAATAAGCACCAGAAATAAATAAAAAAGGAATAGTTACTGAAACAAATTACACCCTCTGTATGACTTCTAATGAGATGGTACGAGTAGCACCACACAAACGTTTGATATATAAAA